ATAAATTTTGAAAATGTTGTGCAGCTATCCGAACCAGGATCTCGATCAATTTAAATAAAGTTTGGTATTTATTATAATAAATCATTTGCGGAAATTTGGTAAACTTAGTTTAATTAGTTTTTGAGTAAATGTTGGAACAGTCGGAGGGCGGACCGATTGACATGGTTAAATCAACTCAGAATTCGATGCTGATCAAAAACATATACTTGAGTATATATTATATCAGACCATTATTTCTTAGTGTTACGAATAATAAGGCAAATTTAGTATACCCTTCGAACTTACGTGTGTACGGGTATAAAAAATATTTAACATTTTTTAATTTTTTTTGTTTCCAATTCAATACAATATATTTTTTTAGAATAATATAGAAAAAAGCTTGTCTTCTGTTCATGCCGTTTGTCACAAAGTATGAAGCGATTATCGCGATTCGGAGCCAACAGTTGTGGTAACATAAGCAATTTAAAAGAAGGAAAATTATTTCAAGTAATAAAATCGTGTACAATGTTTAATAAATCTCTTAAACAGGCAACTGTTGCGTCTAATCAAAAATTTAATATTTTGTTTGAATTCCAACACTAATATAGTCCTTCCAATTTTTCATGTAGCCTTGAATAGTAGTTTCTTATAAAGAAAATTTTAAATGCATCAACAAAATGGGCAGAAATCGGGTAAGAATTCGTGTTGAATTCAAGATTTTAAAGCTAAATCGAGCATGTGTTAGAAGTATCATTATATAAACTGGCTGCACCATTTTCAAATAATAAAATTATTGTCATTCATAATAATGAATCAGTTTCACAAAAATTTAGAGTTTTTCATTAAATTTTATTTAATTAACTGAGAAAGATATTTTGTCAACAATTGTAATTTATAGTTTTGAACCTTATTATTACATATGTTTAATTAGTATCGAAATTTAATTTTTTCATAACTTTTCTTCCCAAAAAAAAAAACTTTTTTATTATAGAAATAAAAACTTGAATTTTCCTATTGACTTGAATTTATAATCGTTACAAAAAATTAAAAAATTGTTAATAGTTAAGTAAAACAATCAAGTTCACATAAAAAGTTAAAAGTAGGAAAATGTTAAAAACTATTTTATCCCGAATTTATGCAATTTTAATATGAGAAATATAATAACTAGCTAGCTAGACAAGCTTTCTTTGTTTTCCATTTTAACATTTATTTTACAAATTTTTATTTGTAAGAGAGCTTTATAATATTGTTGTATTAATGTGAAAATAATTGCGAAAACTCATAGAAGAAATAATAAAAAATATGGAAGCAAGAGGACGTTGATTCGCTAAAAAGTTGAATTAAGAAGACAAAAATTTGCTTAAATTTCCACACTTAAGTAACATGTAAAATTAATTAAAACTTCAAAGTCAAAATTAAAATAAAATTGGTTGTCTTTTTTAATCTTATATGGAATAGCTTTATCATTTTATTTAAAGCAACCTCAAAGTTTAAAAAGCAGGAAAGTAATTTTCGTTTTAAATAATATAATTGTTAAAAAAAATATATATATACAGGGTGATTCAGCAAGGTATACAATAACATATACCATTGGTTAGAGGGTCGAAAATGGGTAAAATTTTTGTTCCAGACTAGGTGCGAAATCTCAAGGGCTTCCGAGATAAAGGGATTTTAACGAATTTTCACGAAATTTCTACTTATCGAAGCTTTTTTGATTATAACTTTCATTCTGAAAAAGATAGGAACCTCAAACAAACAGTTTCTGAAAGGCCTACTAAACGGCTTAAAGTAGACATGTTGCTTGATTTTGTATTTAATGTACCTTTGGAATACTAAGCATTCGAACTTTAGGGAAAATCAAATTTTTCCCTTGTTTTATTTTTTCAGTTTTTTCTAATTAGATAATTTCGTAAGAAATTTTTTTTATATAATTTTTCCCAGCTGCTTAAGTTTTAATTTAAGTCCTCAAACATTAAAAAAATTTTTATTGTACAGAAAATTTAGCACTAAAACCATTTCTATGTAAAAATTTTAAGGGCCCTTAAAGGCAAGGATTTTAAGCGTTGTAATTACCAACTATCATTAATTTTTGGTGGCAATAGTCACTCGCAAAAACAGTTTACATTTTGAAGAGCCGTTATTTTGATAAAAAGTCAGAATTTTAATGCTTTTATTGAATAATAAAATTGAAACGAAATTTTATACAAACTTTTAATTTGAAAAACAAAAATTGTTTTTAAAAAATTTGAAATTTTTGAAAAGAAAAACTAGAATTTTGTATTAGGAAAAACAAAAAAAATCTAGTATTCAAAAAATTTTTTCGAAACTTTTCTTGGTAAAGAAAATTGATAGGTTTTTAATTTTTGCCAATTTTTATAAGAAATGGTACCTATATGGTTTGAAATTTTTAAATGCATTTTTCTCAGATTGGGTGCAATTTAAAAATTTGAAAAAAATATTTTCGGAATCTAGACACCATTTGGCATCTGAAGTTATTAAAATTATCCTGCTGGAGCGAATTTTTAAAGACATGTCATATAAATTTTGACATTTATTTTATTTTTTCATTTTGACATTAAATTTTCCTTTTTAAAAAATTTTTTTAAAAAGGAAAATTTAATTTTGTTGTACAAAATGGAGTTTGTAAATGATATGGTATTATTTTTTTCAAGTTAATAAATAATTAATAAATAATTTAATGCGATTAAAAATTTTAAACAAATTTCTACACAAACTTAAATTGGTGAGCAAATAATTTCAACATACACATAAATTTTTGCCGAATTAGGTGAATTTTATAGCAAAATTTGGTGTTTCTTTTGAGAAATTTATAAAATTTTTGATAAAAGAATATGTACTTTCGAATGCGGTAGCATTCCGAAAGTACATAAAATATAAATTCAAATAACACGTGTATTAAGACCTTTAGTAGGCCTTTCAGAAACTGTTTGCTTGAAATTCCTATCTTTTTTAAAATAAAAGTTATAATCAAAAAAGCTTGGATAAGTATAGAAATTTTGTGAAAATTTGTTAAAATCTCTGGAACTCGGAAATCATTGAGACTTGGCAGCCAGTCCGTATCAAAAGTTTTACTTATTTTCGATTTTCTAACCAATGGTATATCTTGCTGTATAATTTTCTGAATCACTCTATATATTTGAATTATAACATGCAGCTTGACAATCTGAGCAAAAACTTGTTTTTGAAATATTTAGAATTTTGGCTTTCATAGTTGTATGGCCACGAACCACATATCTGGGTTACACATACATATCTGGATTATGATTGGACACACAACTGTCAAATTTCACTAAGCTAAATTTATTATTTTTTTAATAATTTAATATCAGATTTTAAGACTATATGGCAGCTTCATGAACCCGTGTAGCGATTTCATTAAAATTTCTAGAATTGTAAACGCTCAATTTTAATCAATGCAGGATTTTACGCTGGTGCACCGCATAAAATTATATGTGTAAAAATTTTTGATCTATTAAACTCCTTTTTATTTGGAATTGAATTTTTAGTGTTCCTTCCGAATAAAAACTGGTTTTCTTTTTATACATTAACAATTTTACATCACTATTTCGGAAGAATAGCTGTTGAATAAACATTTTTGAGCAAATAAAAATTTTTTTCTTTTAAATAATTTTTCCTAAAGCCTATTTTGAGGTATTTTCAGTTTTGGAAAGCTATGGTTTGAACAAAAGTTTTAGAGTCCATTGAAATCATACCAGTAGTGTTCCACATTGCTATATATTTGCCAAGTGATAAATTTAAAATGAAAGGGAATTTGGGAACTACAGACGATAAAAGTTCGTGCTATTGATCAAGGTGGTTAGCATTTCAAAAATAATTAATAAATATGCATATACAGGGTCATTCAGAAACTTATGTTACAATATAACATAGTATTTCATATAAAAATATCACTTTAAAATAAAGTCACTTATTATAGCAAAGTTATTAAATTGACAACATTTTTCCATTTCATTTTGAATAAATTTTATTGTTTATTTTAAAGATACTTATTTGCATGTTTACTGTTATCTATAATACGAATTAAAATAATTATACAATAAAACGAGAAAAAATGTAATATATTTGCTTGTGTGAAACTTCAATACCATAGCTTTTATAGTTTTTCAGATATAGCCAAACAAAAGATATAGCCAGAAGGGGTCAATTAATTTTAACGACTTTTACCAGATACATTGGCCCTACTAATATATTTGTTTGTGTGAAATTTTAATAGCACAGCTTTTATAGTTTCTGAGATATAGCCAAATAAATTTTGAACTTGTATGCCAGCTACCCGAACCGGTATCCTGACCATGTCCAATTTAAATAGGGTTCTGGCACTTACTACAATCATTTGTGAAAATTTGGCGAACTTAGCTCAATTAGTTTTTGAGTTATTGCTGAGACGGACGGACGGACGGACAGACAAAGCTAAATCAACTCAGAATTCGACACTGATCAAAAACATACACTTGAGTCTATATCTAAGGGTATAAAGATGAATCCAAATCGTATTACAACAGAGATCCTGGAAAGGAATTACAACAAACAATAAAGTAAACATTGCAATAAAATGTACAGTTTCTTTCTTTATTCTTAATATTATATATTTTTTGTTGACGATAAGCTTATGTTTCTTGTAACACAAAAATTGTTAGTAAATAAAAAAATTTATCTAAGTATATACTCATATTATAAGATGTAGTAGAATTACTATATAACAATAATTTGCGACTTACGACGATATATAAACAGTGCGACTGTGAAACAAAATATTCGCTGAACAGAGAAATGCGTTATATGGGATACTTATTATATAAATTCCACTGCATTTTTGTTTTATATTATGTGTAATTCAATTTATGTGTAACTATTTTATATAATTATATAATATTTGTAGTCCTAAGAATGCTGGAAAATTTATATTGTAATATTAAGAGATAAAGCTGTAAACGAATTCAAGCTATAGCTAAAAAAGGGTTGCCAGAAACAAACTGTTACTACCAGAATTTGTGGGATAATAATGGATGTGGTGATTCAATATAGGCTGGTGCGACAGCAACCGGCTTTGCTACCGGAACAATAACTGGTTTCGGTACAGGAATTCTTATTGGTACAGCAACTGGTTTAACAACTGGATATGGCACTGGTTTTGGTACTTCAACAGTAACAATTTGTCGAATAATTTGTGGTGCTGGAGGTGCTGCAGGTGGGGCGGGTGGTGGTGCAGGAGCTGCAGCTGGAGGTCCTGGAATTGCATACATAGCACTTAATTGAATTGGTACGAATGCTTGTAAAGTTGTTGTCGCTGTTTGGCCAGGTTGTGGTCCAGCTGGAGGTGCTGGGGGCGGTGGTGGAGGTGGAGGAGGTGCTGGTGCTGCTGGTACTGGTGCTGGTGCTGCTATTTCTTGTATACTTATAGCTGGCAGCTGTTGTAATTTATATGCAGATAATGCTCCTAAACCTTCTAAACCACCATAACCATAATGATCAGCTCCTAAATAACTACGTTTTTCTCGTTCAGCATATTTTGAAAATGAAAATTCAATCGTTAACATTATTAAAAAAATGCTCTGAAATTATATTAAAATAATTTTGAATTTTAACCCTTTTGCTATATTGATGTTTTTCTTTAAACTTTTATACCAATAACTTTTTCATGTTCCTTCTTTTTGCAACTCTTCTTTATATTAGAAATTTTAAAAATCCTTTAAATGCTTTTTTTTTTTTATTTAAAGCGTAAAAATAAATTTGCAAAAAATAATTGTAAAATTTGATTAAATCATATTTTTACGAATGAAATAATTTGACGAACTCAATTCACTTTTATACTTTGAAATTAAAGTGCCCTCTTCTTGCAAGTAAACAATTTGAACTGTAAATATATGGATCAGTATTACATCTTTTATGTTTAAACATGATGTAATATCTATCACCATCTAATTTTCCGGGATACTATAAAATCATTGTACTTTAAAAGATTGGAATTTTCTTTTAAATGAACAGATGACAATAATAAAACTGAAATGTCCATAAATAGTTTATAATATGTATGTAATATGTAACATGTAAGAGTAAATATGTAATATGTACAAATGTAAAAAAGAAGTAGATGAACCAATTATAATTTTTCATGTCCATTTTCATTAGGTAACTATTGTTTTTGATTATAATTTCCACTATTATATAGATAAATGCATGATTGTAAAACGTTGATCGATTTTATTCAGGAAATATTTGTGTACAGTCTTAAAGAAATTGTTGAATGAGAAGTGATAGTATTTATGTTGGACGAGTTTTTTTTTTCGCCTGTTTCTCTATGGTCTTGTTTGTATGTTAGGTTTTGTCATTGATTTTCATTAAAATTTTGAATTAAATAAAATTTTGAGTTATGGTTTTTTCTTCTATATCTAAAACATAATTCCGATATTAATAAATTCACATAATAATTTTATGATTGACTTCAAAAACTAAAATGTTAAACAAAAAATTGATTTCTTTTTAACACAATTTGATTTTAAAAATGTAAGATTGTAGTATTAAAAATTTACATTGAAGAGTTTTTAATATTATATATATATACAAAAATTATAATTACAAATTATGGAAATCATATCGGAATTCGTTTTTGTATTTGAATGAAGAGCCTCATGTAGTTTACTGTACACTGCTCGCTCTCATAATGTACACTGCTCGTAGTTAAGTACAAATATCTTACACTATGGTATGATCATAAATCGGGAATTATCATTGATCGGGAATAAGTATATTTTGCGACTGCAACATTATTATTCTAATTACACTGTTTGTTTAAAAATTTTTTTAAAAAATATCTTATCAAAATGAATTTTTTATGCACAATGATTCAGCTTCACACAATTATCAATCAATTAGTAATTTTCTATTTAAACTTTTTCTATTAAATTAAGATTTGAATTATATTAAACAATTTTCAATATTTTTTATTAAAGATCAAATAGTTTAAATTGTTTGTGAAGTAAGCACAATAATATTTAATTTAAAACTGGAATCTAAATTTAAAATTGTATAAATGCGTTTTTAAGCATACTTACCCGTATTATATGGTCGTTCTCATGAGAAAACTATACGGAACTTTTATTATAAAAGATGCAGTTACGTGGTTTTGCCATATAACCAATAACGTACATTTTGACACTGCAAATTTGTATATGTACATAAGTAATTTTAAACCAAGTCTTTTTTTATTTCTGTGTAATTTTTCACATCTTTTCCGCGAAAATTATTCTTTAAAAAGTTTTTTAAAAGGGATGAATTTGAGCACTTAAAACTTTTAAATTTAAATGAACTTTGTTTTTGTCATTGATTTTCATTAAAAATCAATGACAAAAACAAAGAAATATCTTTAATTTATTTGCAAAAGAGCAAAATAATTTTCGAAAATATTGGTTCCATATTATAAATTTTTCTATATTAATGATAGAGAACATTTAAAAATCATTTTTTGTTTCATTATTAAAACTGCTAGTGAATTGCTAGTGAACTTTTTCAATTAAATTTCAAATTATTAATCGTTCATTCAATTTTCGATGTTTATTATTAATTTCATTTTATTGAAAATTTAAATTTGAAATATAAAAATAAAAAGCAAAAATTGAAAAATTTAAACAAAAATTTATCAAATAAAACATTGGATCAAAATTGTGCAGAATAAAATAATGAAATCCCCCTAGCGCAATTTTATTAAATTAATCTAAGCGTACAGCTTTTATCATATTGTGAGATATGAAATTCTCTTTTAAAATATTGCGTTCGACATAATTAAATGTGCACATGTTATGATGATAAACGTCACTAAAAAGTCCTTGTAATAACTTGTTTTCTGTAATTTCCAGTGCTGTGCAATAATTTTGCAAATAATATATTATTAATTGCAAATAATTACATTATTACTATGATTAATGAAAAGTTTATTGATTTTTTATTGTAAATTGTATCGTATATAAATAAAGGAGTAAAACTACTAAAAGTAATTTTGAAAATAAAGGAATAGAAATATCTTAAACATATAGCCTCAACTCGTGTTCGATTTAAGGCGTTTTGGTTTTTGATCTTTATAAAAATTCAAATTGAAATTTAAGTGCAAATTACTTTTTATAACTCATGTGCTATACTTATATTTTTTAAAGATTTTAAAAATTTAGTAGTTTTTCTAAAAGTATGAAGAAATAGAGTGCAAGAATGAAAAATAAATGCATATGCAATAAATAGCTGAGGTTTGAAATGTTAAATAACAATTTTATATAACAGAACCTAAGTTTGAGCTTCTCTATACTGGTTTTTAATTTATTTATACAAATTTGCACAAATAATTTTATTTAAATAAGGTAATTAACACCATAACAATAATAAAATGTAGTGAAAATTTTATTTTGATATTGTAAAGCTCTAGATCAAAACAAGATTTAATTTTTCTCTTATGATGGTATGATAAAAAATGTTAATGAAGTTTCAATAAAATTACCCATTTCTGCTATTTTTCAACTTTTGGAAATTTACATATGTATGTATATGGGTAAAAATTAGATTACCAATAGCACAGCTTGGTAAAAAATTGCATAATGAAGTCAATATACTTACAGTATTTGATAATTTCACATTTTATGTTTTCAATATTCGATTTTAATTAGTGACGTTACTTTTCATTAATTAAAAATATAATTTTATTTGATTAAATCTTCGATTTTTACAATAGGTCTATTTATGAATTATGATTAATTTATTAAAAAAGGAAAAATTATAGAATAATTATTAATATTCAATTTAACTGACATTAATTATTCTATATAATATTTAGTAACTATTAGATAATAGATTGACTTGCTATTTTATATATTTTTTTTTGGGTTATTTAAAAATTATTCTATTTATTACCATATAATCAATGTTATGAATTTTCTTTCATCGCCATCCACCTTTATATATTGGTCCTCTTATTGTATAGAATGTGGAAACTGGTGGTCTTGATAGTATTATTGGTTTTGGAGCAGGTAACTGAATTGGAATTGGTTTTCTAACTTCGAAAGTTGTTATTATATTTCTAATAATTTCAGGTGCAGGTGCTGGTGCAGGTGCAGCAGCTGGTGCTGGAGCAGGTTCTGGAGCAGGAGCTGGTGGAGCCGGAGGTGCGGGTGGTTCCGGAGCTGGAGGTTCCGGTTCTGGTGCTGGTGTTTCTGGTTCGGGCTCCGGTGCCGGTGGTTCCGGTGGAGGCGCCGCTGGAGGTGCAGCAATTGAATACATTGCTGATAAATTAATTGGAATAAATGCTGGTAACTGTATTGTAGTGGGTCCAGCTGGTGCCGGTGGTGGAGCTGGTTTTGGTGGTGGAGGTGGTGGTGGTGGTGGTGGTGGAGGTGGTGGTGGCGGTGGAGGTGGTGGGGGCGGAGGTGGTGGTGGTGCTGGAGGTGCTGGAGGTGGAGCTGGCGGTGCTGGAGCTGGTACCGGCGATGGTGGTATTGCCAAAAGACTTTTTAAATCTTCTAAACTAATTTTTATACCAGGACCATTTCCAACCGCTAATGTATTTAAATCGAGTAATCCGCCATCAAAATAACTTCTTTTATTTCGGTTAAAATATTTTGGATATTTATATATGTAGGCATTAGTAGTGCACAATATCAAAAGGAACTGCAATAAAAATATATTAAATTTTTGTTTTATTATCAAAAAAACGATAATGTCCGTTATAAAATTTTAATTACTTACAATTAATATCTTCATTATACACTTTAATAATATTTTTTTATTTTAATTCACATTTGATCGATATTTCGCTGACAAATAATACAAAAAATGATCCATTACCCGACTTTATATACAAAATTGAATAAAGTCAAAGTTTATAAATATTTTTAAATAAAGTAGATAAAAAATATTATAATTTCCTCTTTTCCAATGTTTTTCATTTCAAAATTTTCTTTAATATACAATTTGTTTTCCTTCACGCTCAAAAGAGTGACACAAGTTCACCAAATATGTAAATCGTTAAACAATCACCATGCTTCAACGGACGAGTTTTGACACCATCCAAAAATGGTACTTGATATAGTTTTAGTTATCATGATTAGCAATTTATTTAAGTACCTTCGCGTTAATGCAGGTGAATCTAATACATTGTGGTATAGACGCAAGACTATGTTATAATGTATGTATATCTGTATATCATATTTGCGTTATTTAAAGTTTAGATGTATGAAAATATGAAAATTTTTTATAACATGTTTAAAGAAATGAAGATATGAACAAAACGTTAGCATAGTTTCCGTCAACCATACGGTAAATAAAATATATTTGCTTTTAATACAAGCTTTCATAAAATCTGAAGTATAAAAAAAAAACTAAATGAAAGTTTATTTAATTTCAGAGTTAAGCGAAAGATCATCAGAAGGAGCAAAATTAAGTTTTATTTCATCACATTCTATATTAATTGTTATTTCGGTTTTTGTTCTAATTTCCAAAACTAATGTTTAAAAGTATAAACATTCTACACATGTATAAATGCACAAACTGAATGTGTTAAAATTTGAATAAAGATATGCAAAATGAATTGTTGCATCAATTTCTCAAGTAGCATCTCAGATAATACAAACATATAAGGTTTAATGCTTCCTAATTGCATACGTTAAGTTGAGAAAGAGTTATTCATAATTTAGCACTTATTAGGCGATATGAGATCAATTTAACTTTTACATGATTTACTTTTATAACACAAAATCTTTAATGAATATTTGAAAGTATCCTATGATGTTTATGAAATTTTGCGAGAATGTTTCGGTATTTTTGAATTAAGTTGCATTTTATTTTAATAATTTAACATGATTAAACAATTATTTAAGCCTTAAAAATATTGATTATAAATTTTTCAATGCACTCGTACATTACACAGAAGTGTAAAATATTTTCTTGGACAAAACAATTTCACTTTAAGGTAAAAACGTTGAACAAATGTTAAGTATATTGTCGATAAATTGTAAATAGTAGTCATTAAATAAAAAATTTATACCATAAATTTGTGAGTTAGGTGTAAATGCGTAACATGATTCTGTAATTAAATATAAAATTTCATTCATTATAGGGAATAAAGTTTTTATTTTCCATTTTAACTCATGAATATTAAATTTGGTTAAAAAAGTATACGAATGTATTTATTTCTTAAGGAGTAATTATATGATCGAACAATATCAGCTATTCCTAATAGAGTAATTATTATTGATTATTTTATAAGTCAATATGGAAGTTTAAATAATTTATAAATTAACGCTTTTTGAATGTTACACAATAAATGGAATGAATTTACGTACATATATATTAGTTCCTGAAAAGTTATAAAAACTGCGAGGAAAGTTTCCTAGAGAATAATAGTTATATAAACGTAAAATTGTATTTACTGAGGGGGTGTTAAATGGATGTGAGTTGGAAGTTAAGAAAAATGGAAAGCGAAAAGTAATATTTGTATATTAAAATTTTTTCTTATTAAAATTACAACATTGTATAAGTATTAATTATTTGTTTATACTAAACAGAAAATAACGTTGCGGACAAAGAAATATGAGGTAATGATTAACAAATAATTTATATTCTTGAACTGTACCATTGGTAACATAACAACTGTTTCCTGTTCGTGATAAAAATCCTCTTATCTACAGATATATTGAACGTAGTGTTATTGTTATGTTTCATATTTTCTTTATTAAAACTTATAAAATTACTTAAAATTGTGTTCATAATTTGCAATTCTAAGAATAGAAATGAATAAATATTCCGCTGCAAGGGAAAGGATATATTAATGCACTTTGAGTCCAAATTGTGGGATTAAAGACTTGCTTTAAATTTAAATTTTTGCAAAGGTAAGGAACAATGCTAAATATAAAAGCAAAAAATTAAATACAAATTACTGTGTTTTATGAAAACGTCTGATGTAATTGAAATTCGGAGGTCTAAAATTATTCTTCCATGTCTGTTAAGATGAAAATAAAACTAAGCTATTTATTCGATAAATTTAATAAGCGAGCTTATTATGCTAGTTATCTCTAATCTTTATTTATATAGAGTAGAGTAGAGCCTCCGTAGCTTTTAAATAAAAACATGTTGGAAAATAGTTGTCGTATAATAATAATCATAACGTAATAAATATCGTCTTTTCTGTTTGAAAAATGGACACTAAGTGAAAATAATATAACGTTTCCTAAAATAAACTACGACTTTTATATAGAATGCATTCTAAAGATTGCGTAGAAGAAAATATGCAGCCTATTATTAAGGTTCTGTGTTCGTAGTATTGTTTTGATTCTGTTTTAATTTAATTTTTTTGTTATATTATTTTGTTAGGTCCAGTTGTGCAATGTAAAGTCAAAAACGATAAATTGAATCGATGTGCGCAATTTTAATAAGACTAGCACTCATGCTTGGTTTTAAGAATTAATGAGGAAATTTTAGCTTATATTAAAGCCTATTTTGAACCATCATTGAACACTGTTATTTGTTTTAAATACAATGGAAATCTCAGCACTATGCTAATCAACATAATTATTGTTAACTTTAGGTAAGAAAATACCTCTGATATAAAAATTTTATGCACTTTATAGTTTCACTGAAATGAAAAAATTTAAACAAGTTAAGTTTAAATAAGAAATATGAGTCCTTGCTGAGCAGCGGTCGAGACTTGGGAAGTAGTTAAACTGGTTTGTAAATAAAATTTTGTAAAGTTTTCCTTATACATAATTTTGTTCGTGTCAATTGACTTTATTTGATGAATTTTTTTTATCATTTTCTTTAGATTTTAAGGCTTCAAAAATGGTTCTGAACAAAAATTTTAGACTTTATCATTATCTTTTTAAATGGTATGCATAGTTATATTTTTTTAAGTTAATTTAAGTCGTTCTTGCGACTTAGAGCCCTAAAATTCTGATTTTTGAAAAAGTTCACGAACAAAATTTGGAAAGTACTTCATTATCTTTTCCACGATATTCTGTATGAATTTATTTGACTATATTTGATTTTAGCCAAAAAGGTCTGGGGATATTTGACAATAATCTAGAGAATCATTTAGAACTACCTGTATTCGTTATCGGTTCATTCATAAAGAGAATGATGCTTTATATGAAAACAAAAAAAATAGAAAAAATAGGGACAATAGGTTCGTATTTCATCTAGATAAAACCATGATAAAACACTTCCTTTTGATTAACAACTTGTCCACTATTTGTAATAATAATAAAAAATTATAATAAAAAAATTTTTTCTTTCCACACAGGTTACTGCCTAAATTAAGTATGTCTATTCAAAATTTTAAAAATTAAAAAAAGAAACGAAGTTGAAATTATTTTCCATTTCCTCATTGAAATGTTTAGTAATGTCTATTTTATAGCAAGTTCATATCATACTACATTTACAGAACCTAGAGTTTATTTTTTTATCGTAAAGAATATGAAAGCTTTGCAATCAGGAATTAGGAGGTACGAACTGAGTGAAACTCATTTTATTTCATCTTTTTTAGAAATGTGATAAAAGCACACTCCTGTCAGGTATGCGTGTAAATTAATATGCAAAATTTTCTGCAGGCAGCGTTTTCCTCTTTAGAAATTCATTTTTTTTTGCAAATAAATCAATCAATCAATTTATGATTATAATGATAGTGTGCATACACATATATACATCAAAGATTTATTGAAAATTATTATAATTAAAAAATATACGCTCGCTTATGTAACGATTATATAAGGAATAAATTTGCGGTGATACCAGCAAATAATATTGCAAATAAGAAAAGTTGAAACGAATACGTGTATCTTACGTGTATGTATATATTGCTGTTATTGTTCTGTATATACGAGTACATACATACTACATTATAAATTCAGATACATATTACTATATTATAAAAAGCGCACTGTTTTCTATATGTATGCAAATCATTATAATTCTAAGGTCTATTATAAGGCGATACAAAATTAATAAATTGGAAACAGTTGATAAATTCACAGAATATACATATAAAAGAAAAAAACATCTGTTTGTAGAGCATTTTTTTCCTTATTAAAATTATTTAAGCGTATACCAATTGAAAAATTAGATTTATTTATAATGACGTTGAAACTTTTATAATGCTAAGTAAAATTTTATATTCATATTTTCACCCTATGAATTTTCTACTTTCAAAAACTAAACATGTTATACATTTTTATATTTTGCTTCACATAAGTAATCTGGTCTTAGGCAAATATTTTAGCTAATAAAATATTATTGGTAAAAATCACAAATATGTATACGCCATCTTGTTACATAATTATTTTTATAATGTACGGACAGCCGATGTATAAATGTTTTTCAATTATACTGAAACTACTTGATTGTAATTTCAAACAGACGCGACAAAGTCGTAGTATAGCAATTAAATAAATAAAAGATTCCCGTAGTCAAAAATGTTTACCTGTTTAATTTAAATGGTGGCCAGTTAAGATTTAATAACTTTAAAACCTGCATTTTAATTTGAAAGAATTAATAAATAATATGAAGATTTTAATTATTTTAAAATCAATGTACAAAGATATTTATTTCAATTTTGTAGAAAATCAGTGAATTTGGCTTAAGTAAATACCTACAATACCTACAATGCCACGAAAACTGAAATTTTCACTTCATATCCTTCGTTATTTTTCCTGCAGTTGATTATAATTAATTCTATTCAAACTGATAAACACTGAACTAATTTTCTGGGTATT